GACTTCTTTTTTTTAGAAAAAAAGAATTTACACATGCATCATTTAAAGGATTCTAATAATGTATTTTAAAAAAACTACTGCTTTTCAGAAACCCTACTCAATATGCCGTCATTGTAATAAATCACTACTTTAAACATAAAAACAATCTGTCCTGTTTGAAAAGATAACATTAAAACAAGTATTCCTTTAAATGAACCAAACCTGTAGATAAAATATATAAAAATTTCATTTATGTACAATTAATCATAAAATCATAATATTTATATATGTATATAGTATACGTATTATGTTATTTTATACATATTTAAGTTTTTAATCACAATAATTTTTTTGTCTAAAATTTTACATGGCATTTAGTTTTTGTACAAAGATTGTATAAAGATACAAAAATCAACAGGACAGCAATTTTGGAGGTAATTTTTATTAATATTTTAAATGTTTAAAATTAATTTTAAATTACTTTAAAATACTTAGTAAATTATTGATAAAAATATATAAGTAAAGTATTGAAAAAAAATTTTATTCTTGACTTTTTTTGGTTTAAATTTTTAGATGTTTGAATGTTTGTTGCATTTGAATTATGAAAAAAAAGATGAAAAAAAGAATAAATTTGTTTTTGTTTAATTATCATCTTATCTCAAAATGTGAAATTCAGATAGAAGGATTTTTTGTTCTGAAAATATTAATAGAGTTAAAAAATAATATAATGAATATAGGATTTAATGTAATAGTTATAATTTTTATATGTAATGATAAAAAGTTTTACAGTTTTACTTTCACTTGAAAATTGCATTGTGGCAATATCTCTTCAATTTTATTTATAACATTTATTTACCATTTCAATGTGTGGCATTGAGCCTTATCATAGAAACACTAATTTGAAATATGTTGGTTGATTACAATGCTTGAAATATGTTGGTTGATTACAATTATTATAAAAAATCAGAATTGCATTTGGAAATAAACTTCAAAATATGTGAAATAATAGATTTACCATGATATGTATAATATTGATCATGATAAGTCTATTCACATCGATAGTTTCTATACTTATTCTTTAATTGTTTTATTTTAACAATTTTTAGTAGAAAATAAAAAAACTTTAAAAGCTTTATTTTGAGTTAACAATTAATGTTTAATACTTTATAACTTCCCCATTTTAAATGCACAGACTTAACTGACATGACAACTCTATTGTGACATCTCATCTTTGATTGTAACATCATCTCATCTCATTTCTATCGTGACATGATCTCATTTCTATGCTGACAAATTTTAACACTATTTAATAATTAAAAGACTATTTAGCTTTATTAAATGGTAAATAAATGTTATAAATAAAATTGAAGAGATATTGCCACAATGCAATTTTCAAGTGAAAGTAAAACTGTAAAAATTTTTATCATTACATAGTTTGAAGTTTACACAAGGTAGATATTTGCATACACATTTGTTCACTCTTTTTTATAACTAAAGTGCTGCAAATCTCGCCATTACCAAAGTTGAAGTGACTGCTGTGAGCTGTGTAAATCACTCACAAATGAATATATATAAGCCGGTGAGAATCAGAATGGTGCAAGTCATTGTTTCCTTAATTTGAGATATTTAACATAATGATGTTTTGTAATCAAAAATATTGGCTTAAATTAATTTTTTTTTGACTTACACCAAACTGATTCTCACCAGCTCATATATTTATGTGTGTATATATATATATATATATATATATATATTAGAGGTGTGCCGGAACCAGAAAATGTCCCCGATTCCAGGTACCCAATGCTAAAAACCAGGTCTGAGAAAGGATACCCAGCACCAAGTCCATTAAAATAATTAAGGATAAAAAAAAATTTAATCATATCAAAAATAATTTAGACTTTTTTGCTATATTTCTTTTTAATTTCTTTTATGATTTTTTGTTTGTGACAAATGAAAGGGGTTATTAGCGTTTGAAATAAATAAAAAGTAGACTATCAAATAGTTTTTTCGACAATAATTGGTTGAAAACTTCATTTAAATCGAATTGAGATTTTTAAAAATAGCTAAAAAATAATTGAAACTATGCAATATTTCTTTCCTTTTGGCAGCCGTGGCGCAGTGGTAGATATCTCACTTCAGAAACAAGAGGGAGCATGCTCCAACTTGTTTGTGAGGGACACAACCCTCTTTCTAATTTTTTTTTTGTGTGGACCTTCTTTTTTTTTTTCAAAGAAATTGACATTTTTTTACAAAAAAATTGAGGAATTTTTTTTGAAATGAGGTAGTGTGCTCCCCACTCTAAAAACCGCGTCGTCGGCCCTACAAAAACCATTGATTTCTTGTCCAACTTCTCAAACTTCTCAAACTTCACGGGGAAAAATTTAAGTTGAAAATCGTCTATGCTGATTAAAAGGTTGTTGGTTTAAACGTTTATTTATTGTAAAAGATCATTTCTCTTGCATACTAAGCAATAAAAAGAAGAAATTACTTGTAATTTTTCTTTTTTTTGTATTCTCATATTATTTCGTTTTACTTTACGGTTTTTATATCTGTATAAATCAGTTACCTTTTGAAATATTAACTGTTATCAATGTTTTGCAATAGAAATATAGCAAAAATTTATATTCGAAAACGTTATTTAAGTGAGACACATCTAAATTTAGTACATAGAAATTATTAACTTCTGAAACTATCAAGAAGTTTATTGGTTGAAGCACTATTTTTTACCTGGTTAACAATATTGCTACACAGTTTAAAGTAGCTTAAATTATAAGTAATTATAAAGTTAATTAAAGTAATTTAAAGCAAAATTTGTTTTAATTTTTATTCATAAGTTGCAGCACTTAAAGGTTATGTCTGTTAAAAATATTTTTAAAGATACCCGCTGGGTTCATTAACATAATGGCCGATTCTGGTACCCGGTAGAACCACCAATTTACTGGATCTCTGGGTCCGAACCGGGTACCAGGCACATCTCTAATATATATGTATATTAGAATAATAATAAAGTACAATTAAATTTGTAACATTACTCTTTCACATTTTATGCGATCATCAGACATTACAAACGTTTGTAACGTCTGATATATGTATATATATATATATATATATATATATATATATATATATATATATATATATATATATATATATATATATATATATAATTTATATTATAAAGAGATATATATACCATTATATATATATATATAATGGTATATATATCTCTTTATAATAATACTGGACTTGATAGTAGTAGTAGTAGTAGTAGTAGTAGTAGTAGTGCGCTTTCGAGCCTGTTTGACACGGTACTCTTGGCAACCATTGCATCCGAGGTAGTGACGAGAAAGAGTCTTACCTTTGCTTTATAAGAAAATGCGAGCAAACGTGAAACTCATATTGTACCTACATAAACTTCATGTTATGTAATGTTAAAACATGCTTAAACATATATCAAGTTCAGCAGTTTGATTTTCACTTAAGAACTGCATTTCGTCAACCTTTGCTTAATTTCTAATCTTTTGTGTTTTTATCCGTTAAAAAACAATTTTTATATAATTTGAAATCTTTAAGACACTTCGTGAAAGCGTAGTAGAGTGGTTAGTGCGCTGGGCTTCTGACCAAGTCAGCCGTGGTTCAAGTCCTACCATCGGCGACCTTCTTTTTTATTTTTTTTGCGCATGTGTCATTATTGAGATACTCATGTTATTTTAGTTAAACTTTTCAAGTTTATTTACAACTAAATTGAGCAAGGAAAATTAGTAAAAAACATGTTTATATATAGAATATAAAATCTATATAACTTTTGATTTGCATTTTAAACAACAAAACCGCGTGCCAAGCTGATGAACTTGCCACGCGGCGACCATAACTTTTTTTTAAAAATGGTAAGGGGGCTTAAAAAGTATATTTTTATTTAGAACATAATTAAAGATTTTAATTTTATATGTACACTAAATTATTTTATAAAATTTATTGTTTCTAAAAATAATTAAAAGTTAAACTATTTAATATTAGCATAATACCGATTTCTAATCTTTTGCATTTATATCCGTTAAAAACACTTTTTATATAATTTTGAATCTTTATTTCTTAATGCGTCAGCGTAGTCGAGTGGATAGCGCGCTGGGCTTCGGAACATAGCTGCCGTGGTTCGAGTCCTACCGTGGTTCGAGTCCTATTTTATCTATCTGTGTGTACAGCTAGTATACAGACTTGCAATTAACAAAATTTATGATTCATTATTATATATATATATATATATATATATATATATATATATATATATATATATATATATATATATATATATATATATATATATATATATATATATATATATATATATATATATATATATATATATATATATATATATAATAATGAATCATAAATTTTGTTAATTGCAAGTCTGTATACTAGCTGTACACACAGATAGATAAAATAAGTCACTGTAAGATAAAATACAAAAAAAAATGCAATACACAAACCTAAATTTTATTTTAAATTTGTTCATAAAATTTATAATAGTAATTTTTAATCGTTTCAGGCTTGAGCAAAAGGATTTTCTTCAAATTGAATCTAATGTTGTAAGTTTCTAATTTTGTATTTTAAGTCCCACAAAGGACAACACATTTGAAAGTCACATAAAACTACTTTTTCCTAGTTTTTGGTATCCAGGAGCTCTAAAAATATAAAAAAGCTTATGGATAACTAATGGGAAAGAAGACTTCTATGTTAGAGGAACAATCAATTTTTGAACCCAGAGTCCTTAGGTATGATTGTGGCGAGGCCTCTCGGACTCCAGGCTTTAAAACAATAAGTTCCAAGTTGTTAAATCTCATAATTTTTTTCTTATCTTAGATTATAAATCATCCAACATGTTTAGAGCTACTGGACACAAGAGACCATGAAAAAATAGAGATATAAAGTCATTTTGGGGCTCCTCACCCCTTTTTTGTTTATATATGATATTATAGAAAAGGTCAAGTAGTGTTGAACCAGATGCTTATTTTGGCATTATACTATTTGCAGATCAAGAATGAATATTTTTATTGTGATCACTCAAAAGTTTTTATGTTTTTATAAATATCTCAATTGAGATATTCATATCAGATTTTTTTTTTTATGTTTTAATTTAATTTAATCTTTAGTAATTGGATTATTATATTGTTTAATTCAATGTTTACATTGTTGAACTTCGCATCTTTTTTAACTAGTTACTTTAACACTAATGGGAGACATGACTGCAAAAGAACATAGAGTTCAGTTCTGACTATTGTTTTTTAAGATCTTTATTTTATTGCTGGATAGTATTTTCATGTTTTCATTTTTTTTTGGTCAAGCTCTTGTGTGCTAGGGTATTTTTTTTTATATTTAATTATCAAAAAAAAAAAAAAAAATTCATCACCCATACACTTCAGAATTATTTTATTTATACATCATTTGCACTCCATATCAAATAATTGACAACTGCATAAAATATACATGAGTTGTTGAGATATAAATAATTCTGATTCAGCGTTTTCATGGTTATTTGAATTGGCAACAAAGCAACATTGACAAAATATCTTTATAATGGTTAGGAAGGTTTTCCTAAAATTTGGAATTCAAATAGATTTTAGCTCTAGGAATTTAAAAATACTACTCTTGGAACTTTATAATCTTAAGAAGTGCCTCGTTTATTCAATTTTATTCATAAATATTGACTTGTAAATTATTGATTTTTAGTGCTAAAATCGAGGCTGTCACTCAATACTACTGGCTAAATTGTTGATTGTATATTATTTCTTTAAGTTTCCTGAAAAATGTTTGATTTTTGAATTGTCTCTATAATATTTGATCAAACAAACAAAAATAATTTCAGAATTTTGAAAAGCTTAAGTTTTGTAACAAAGGAGAAAATTTTTAAAACATTTTTTTAATTAAAATTTCAATATAGTTTTATGTAATAACTAGTTTAAGACATATTTAGTAATAAGAATACAATGGGGGACTGGTAGGTGAAACTTATCCCAACCCCCTCTCCCAAATCCTACCGAAATTGTAAATAAAATGAAAAGCAGATACTAAATTACAAAATCAGGAAATAAAATTACAAAAACATTATTTTAAACATTTATTTTTATATTAATTTTTTGCAACCAACTGTTTATATTCTTTAAATTTAAAAAAAGAAATGTTGTATGTACAACCTGGTATTGTTATGGGTGTAGAAATTATGCATATAACTTTGGAGTTGAGCACTTAGCACTTATCATTTTTTATTGGTTAAATAAATTTTTCAACTGGTTGAAGCGGATAAAATAATGAAATTTGAATTTGATATCAAGTTCACTTACATCTTCAGTAATCCTTATCCACCAAAATTTTCAGAGTTTGACAAACTGATCTTGACAGTAGGAGTCTTGTTTGTAATTCAGAAGTCTTGTTTATTGTTCATTATTAATGCAACATGTAATTCATTAAGATTGAACAAGATGCTAAATACTCAGAATCCTCAAAGTAATTAAACATCTTTTTACATGTTTCTGGTGCAACTCTTTGAAGTGCAGCTGTTTCTGGTGCAACTGTTTACATTTGCACTTAATGGCAATACGAGTCAGTTTTAGAGTTTTTTTATTTTCATTTTAGTTTATAGTGTCGTCAAATTTTTATTGCAGGTATTTTGCTGTGTTTTGGAACACTTTTGAATTTGAATGGTGAAATCCTGAGCAGTTCTATAGAGGTATCAAACCTAATCATTTTCTCATTTTACGAATTCTACTGCAAACTAAAGTTTCTACTGCTTTTTTGTAACATTGGCTGCAGAAATTCCAGCCTAGCGTTATATATACATTATTTTTGTAAAATTTTTGCTGAGTCAAGAGAAATCTGCCATTGACATTACCTAAAAAAAAAAATTTAAACTAAACTGAAAATTTAAATCATAATTCTCAATAAAATATATTTCTTTTCATTGACATATTAGCTTCTACTCTAATTATAATTAATGTTAGATTACCTTTTAAAACACTTTTTTTATTTACTTGTGTTTTCCAGAAGGCTTGCAACACTTTGATATTTTTCTTTAAAAATTTTTTTTATAGAATTGTTATGATAACAGCATATAATTTTACTTAAACTAAAGTTTTCTCCCCACATTATTCCTTCTTGCTGTTCACAAGAAAATAAAATTGAGTTTAATAAAAACCTTCATTTCTAGAAAAATTTTATATCAATGAATGTTGAGAGTTTTTCTCATGTCGTATTTCTCCGTATTCTATATATTTATAACGTCATTATTATATATTATTTATATTATTTTATATACGTCTATATTATTTATAACGTCAAAAGCAAAAAGAATAACTTAACTTAAAAATTCTTGCTTATATTTTACGATTTTTTTCATTAGACCTAAAGTAAAGTGCCATTACTTTACTTTAGGCCTACTGAATCAAAATTTTTGCTAGGGATTTTTAGCTAATTCAATCAAAATTTTTGCCAGGAATTTTTGGGCTAAATTTTCTGCAGTTACTGTTTAATAATTTTTAATATAAACTTAACATGTTTTAATATTAATTTAAAATGGCCTGCAAATGATGAAAAATTAAAGCAATTCTGAAAGGTAAGGGTTGACATGGCCTGGATGATTACATATAAAATAATTCTCTAGTTAGTTTTTTATATTTTCTCTGCATATAAATAATAAATAAATAATTAGGTTTACCCACAGTTACTGTGTTATGCCAGAATAATGGATAAATTGGCAAAATATTTGCTCAGCTGTGCAACAAATTATTATATTAGAAAAATTTTTCCTTTCAAGAGTTTTCTAGTGGAATAGTTCACCATTCACAATTAAATAAGATTTTAGTTTTTAATTAAATTAGATTTTTTTTTTATAAATAGTTTTTTTTTTTTTTTGACACGGGTGATATCTGGAAGTATATTCCAAAGTTTACCATAGTGGGATAATGCTTGATTACCAAAATGATTACTGCCTTTTGTTTCCCTTTATTTTAATGTTTTTTCTGACATTGAGTATTGAATTAAATTGCATAATGATGTTGGTGCTTCTAAGATAATAGATTTGTGCATTACTAAAAGGACCTTAAAATTCCTGGTCGTTTACTTTATAATTTATTCTAATTTTAAATACCAGTTTTGCTGCACAACTTTAAACAGACTGCAGTTTTTTTTAATAGTGTTTTTTCAATTTTAAAGTAGAAGGAGTTGCAATAATCTAGCTGTGCAAATATTTGTGCAATAAAAATTATTTTGTTTGGATATTTTGCTCAATATATTGTAGCAGTTTTTAACAATCTTGTTTATATGCGTTTTTAAAGATAAGTCATTGTCAAGTATCACACCTAAACCTTTTGCTGAGTCAACAAATCTAGTGCATTCCTTGTTAACAAAAGTGACTTTTACAATAGTATCTTTTTAAATGCTAGGTGGTGTAATTGACATTTTTGTTTTCAATTTATTAATATATTAGAATTAGCAGTAAGTAACCCGTAATACAGGTTAGTAATGAATAAATGACAATTTAACTTGATGTAATATCTGAAAAATATAAGTACAAATTCAACTCTATATGGGCTGCCATAGTCATAATATATATATATATATATATATATATATATATATATATATATATATATATATATATATATATATATATATATATATATATATATGTATATATATATATATATATATATATATATATATATATATATATATATATATATATATATATATATATATATATATATAATCATTTCATTTTAGGATAATTATAATCAGTAATATAAAAGTTTACACTGCTTCTAAAACATTAAAAAAAAAAAAAGAATATAAACACATAAACTTTGAATATATTATATTTTATATAAACTATTAATTAATATAATAAACTTATATAAACTATATTTATTATAATAAATTTATATAATCTATTAATTATATAAACTATTAGTATTGGCTTTATTACGCATGAAACATACTTATTATAAACTATTAATTAACAACACTTGAAAATAAATTTGTGTACATTTTTTACCACACACTACTATACTAGGTTGCAGGTAAAAGTAATAAAAAGATTTGGTTTACCAGATCTATTTATTACTTTACCTTTTTAATTTTTAATTATAGCCGGAGCATTTTCATAGTTTTTTTTAAGACTTCTTAAGTAAATAGAAAACCCTGATCTGAGGTTATGATTGTTACCAAGGATGCTTACATTTTCAAGTAAAGCATCATATTGCATGCTACTCAGTTTGCTTTGGTTATTTCTATGATAGCAAGACACTGCTCTTCAATTTTAACACATGCATCAGCAGCATATTGCTGGAGTAGTTTCTTGCAATAAATTATTGAATAGAAGTTTCATCGTACTAAAGGACCATAATTGTAAAACTAAGATAACTTGACATGATTTCTAGCCAATGTTGCATGTTAAGGCTTGTTCACCAATTATGTCATCTCATGAAAAAAAAAGTGAACAAACTATAGGATCTAAGTTAGCTGACATACTCAATATAACTTCTAAATGACCTTTTGGGTAAATAACTTGCCTGGAAGCAGGTGGAGCACCATCTTTTCCAATGAATACAACTGGAACTTCACTAACTACACTTTGCAAATAAAATATTAAACTATGTAAGCAAAGTTGATTGCTATGTTATTTTTTTACTGCTGCAAATGAGTCAGAGATATACTATACTATTTACTGCTGCAAGTGAGTCGGAGATATACAGTTGATAATGTTGGAGGAATATCTTGATCTGGCCTAAGATTACCTACACAATAGAAAAATTTGACCAATTGCATTTGATATATAATTTATCAAATGCAATTACCTTATATAGATAAATGTATATATAATTTACTAAATAAAAAACAGTACTAACTGATTATGAAATGAATTTAAATTTATTTAATATATAAAACAACATTTATTAATATTAATTTATTTTAATGTAAAAAGAATGCAAACCACAATGCACAACATTATTAATAAAAATGAAGTTATGTCAGTCAGTATATATTTATCTAAAGTAATGAAAAAGACAAAACCATTTAAGAACAAAATTAAAAATTTTTTACCAGTCATTTTAGTTCTAACTTCTTCTAAAAAAAAAACAGGCTATAAAAATTAGAAAAATAAAAACAACCAACAACAAACAAATTTTAGTTTAAACAATGAACAACATCATTTCTTTTTGAAACTAAAAATAATTCAGCTCTAATTTGCTTGCTCGAAAGAACACGTGGAATAAAAAAAACCGAGTATAGAAAAGCTTTAAAATTACTTTAAATGATGTAAGTCAACTACTATTATTAACTAAATTACAGTATTACCATTACAATTATTAAATGATTTACTCATCCATTTGCGGTAGTGGTGTAGTGGTAGAGCGCTTGCTTCATAAACAAGTGGTTCCGAGTTCGATCCCCACCACGTCCCTGGCAGTACCGCACTCAACTCGTTTCTCCGCGCAGCGGCCTTGTTTATTAAGGTTCGTGTTTCGGAGTCATAGAGTTGAGAGAGGTTTATAACCACAAATAAGTACCCTCCTCGTCTGTAGTGGCCTTCTCGGCCTTGAGGAGGTGAAAAAAAAAAAATTATATATGTATTCAAGACATTTTGGTATATACAGGACTATTACATATTGAGATGAAGAAAGGAATGTTTTTGGAGTTTGATGATTATTTAAGTATTCAAAAGTTTTAACATTGATTATGTTCACATCTTTGTATAGTGGTCTCATATAGATCATAAAGAGTTTTGGACCCAGGACTGTACCTTGTGATGCTCTATTTTTTACATTTTGGTGAATTATATATTATATGTGATTCATTATGATTGCTAAAAATTCTTTTTTTAATATTTTATATGTATATACAATAAAGTTCATTATGATTCACTTAATGTATGCTATTTCATTGATGTAAACAATAATAGAAATTATAAATAAAACTTTTATTTATTATTTATGCATAATAACTAAATTAACTTGTTGCTTAAAATTTTATGTTTTTTAATTGTTTACTTAAATTTTTTTTAGTGTATTCAATTGAAAGAAAGTAATATACTTGCACCTTACAAATATATTAGAGTAAGTTTTTCATTACTTATAAATCATAGCATTTGTAATAAAATACTTATAAACTACTGTGTATTTAAGTCTGCAATGTGTTATTATTCTTTATTATGCTGAATTAAAGTTTACCTGTTTGAACCCAAACCCTCCTTCTCAATAAGTATTTATTTAAAGTATAAATGGATGTTTAGATTGGGCCCTGTAACATCATAATGAGATGAGCCTGCTGCAGCGGGCTGCAGTACATACATAACCTATGTTATAGCCTGCTGCCGCAAATGAGTGTTGCTAAGTTGACTAAGGGCCACACCTTTAGTCAATTGCTTCTGTTGGGGCATAATTTTTTTTTTTCTTTTTTTTTCTGGAAAAGCTGTATTCTATAAGGGTATGCAAAAAGAGTAAGCAATTACTGATCTATATACTCTATAGTAGATATTCTGCATTTTAGAGGCCCCCAGGATTCATTAAGTGACATAAATTTATATATTTTTTTTATTTAATATATATAAAATTCTAAATTTTAAATATTAAAAAACATTAAAAGTGTTTACTATACAAGTATTACCAAGAAGCTTTCCAAAAATATCTGCAATTTGTTGTGTGGATAGAAATGAATTTTTAAATTTTGATATGGCCTGTAAATACCTATGTATGACCAAAACAAGAGTTCTTTTACAACCTTAAAGTCTTTTAAACATTAAACAACTAGGATAATTCAACTTTTTCTTACTCATCCCATTCTTTTTCTGAAAAACATTAAGAATAACCTTCATAAAACTACCTCTGTCAATAAAAATGTGATCAAAAGGTGATTGGGGGTTAAGGCTAATTTATTAAATCCAGAATAAAACAAGATATGTCTTGAACAAAAACAAAATCTTTATTAATTATGCCATCAGTACTGTCAAAGGTGTTGGCCTGAAAAATTACTATAATATCAAAGCTATTTTCAAACGATTTCCCTCAAAGTGTTGGTTTTTTGCATTTTATCAATATTTTTTTTTAGTTTTAAATATAAAATAAACCAGTTAACATTAAAATTTTTTCATTAATTAAATAATTTGGTTTTTAGGAGCCTGCGAGTTATTACTTTTCATTAAATTTTGTGAATATGAACTCTGTCCTACCCAAAATTGAACAGGTATGCATTTCAGTAATAAATTTTATTCTTATAATGGAAATGATAACATAAATAAATAAAAAGTATAATTTAGTTACAAATTGCATCATAAATGTTTTTACTATGATATAAAATAGCACTTGTATCTTTAAGCTCATATATTATTATTTTAGCAATGAAATGACTTTAAAAAACTAATAATATAGAAGAATTATAGTCTATTAAAAGGGCTATGAAATGCAGCAAAATATTTTGATGGCATTGGTTACCATTTTTATTTAGGCTGCATATTAGTGAAACAATCTTAAAAAGTGAAATATTCTTTTTAAGAATACGACTCTAATAGATATAACCAATAAAATAAAATCAATAAAGACCATTGCAATTTTTATAACTATGCAAAAGAGAGAAGCAAATAAAAGAAAGAATTTTTAAATCATAAAAAAAATTGGTTTAATAGTTTTAGTTTATTTTCTATTTATATAATATTTCTATTTATTTTATATAAAATGGATATGAGCAATGAAAATTGCATATTTTTAAATTATTTTAAGAAATCAAATTAAAATTTTTAAAGTATAAAACAGAATGTAAGCACGATCTTGATTAATTTTAGTTTTTCTTTATAGCTTATACGTGCACATACATTGAATATACATACAGCTGATGAAATGGTATTCGCTAGACTTTTTATTATTTATTTTTTATTCTTAATTTTGATGAATGTTTTATGTTTATTATTTAAACTTATTGGAATTTTCCTATGCTAATAACAGAAGTATAACGTTAATTAAAACATAATGTATAACCATTACAAGCAATATAATTTGCTTTTATGAAAATTTACTAATTAGATTTGGTTGATTGCACAATTTTTTATATTAATAGATTTAATTTTTTAATATTTGATTTGCTTGATCCTAAATTTTTTTGCGTGAATTGCTTGATTCTACAGTTTTTTGTATATTAGATAAAAACAATTGTTGAAGCAAGACAAGCAATGATAAAGTTTGATAAAAGCTGGTATGACATTTTTTTTTCACAAAAGCTTTTATAACAGCTGACATCGCCATAAATTAGTGATGCATAAGTTATATTTATATTTCATTATGCATAAATTTAGATATTAATTTACATATTGCCATAGTTACACCTTACCTGTATTATATTTTTTAACCATATATTTATTTAAAATTTTTACATATATTGAAATTTTCTTTACTATTAAATACATAAAAAAGTTATACTTAAAATTATAATTTTATAAGTTACAAATAAGATATTTTAGTATTCAGAAACCATATTTTTGGTTTCTGAATATCAGGCTTGGACAGGAATGGTGTGCAATTGAGTGCTATTGTTGACCACACAAATGGTTTTATTTTTTGACAACTTGACCAAGATTGTTTATATGTTTTGATGATTTAAACATTTCAGAAATGCGCTGAATGTAGAAGCGCTAAGCTAAACTTAAACTTAAACTAAAAAAAAAAAAAAAATTTTTAAAAACTATCGAAAAAAATGTTCCTAACAAAAAAAAGAAAAAAAAAATTAATTACAAAAAAGAAATTATATAGCATTAAAATAAATAAAAAATTTAACTCGAAGCGAAACATTTTGTTACGTATTTAATTGAAATAAATGTTATTAAAACTTATTTTTTTAAACATTTTATTAAAGTTTTGCAAAACGCTTTTAAATTAAGTAATAATTATTTTTAATGATTGTTTAACAAATAATCAAATTTTATAATACAAATTTAATAAATAAAAACTTCAAATTTATTAAAAAGTGTTGTATATAATGTTGTATGCAATGTTGTTTAGTTAAAGGTTTTAACTTTTTTTATAGGGGAAAAAAATAAATGCACCTGCGATTTAAGTAAAATAAACCGTCAACAAGCAATTTAATTTGAGCATTACAACTTTATTAATAAACATTTCACATAACGAATTTAAAAATTATTATAAAAAAGTTAAACTCATTTATTCTTATTGTATTGAAAAAAAACTTTCAAAAAATATAATTTTTGTTTAAAAGATTTTTATTAATACTTTTTATTATTATTCAGAGCCAGTTTTACCACTGGATACACTGGACACGTGTCGAGAGGCCACAGAGTTCAAGGGGCCATAGCATTTAAGTGAATATTTGAGAGAAAAATAATTTAAAAGAAGAATTTTTATTGACCTCTACACTCGACTTCCTTTCATGTAAACGCAGTAGTGGTGTAGTGGTAAAAACGGTAGTGGTGTAGTGGTAAAAACACTCGCTTAATAAGCGAGAGGTTCCGAGTTTGATCCCCACCACATCCCTGGTGGTTCCGCGCTCAACTTGTTTCTCCGCGCGGCGGCCTTGTTTGTCAAGGTTTGTGTTTCCGAGTTATAGAGTTGAGAAAGGGTTATAACCACTGTTAAGTAGCCTCCTCGTCTGTAGTGGCCTTCTCGGCCTTGAGGAGGTGAATAACAAAAAAAAAAAAAAAAAAAAAATATCCTAGAGATTTTTAATCTTTGCATAACAGTGCATACAACATATTGCAAACTGGATGTTTTATTTTTTTAACAACTGGAAAGAACTTTTGAGTTCGAACATAATGGTGAAAAAATAAATTTGAAATAATTGGATATTTTATTCATTGCTCATATGCCTATAAGAATGAGAATGATTTTATTCTCATTCTCATAGGATTATTATTTTGCAGATCAGGCGAAAAACTAGGATCGGAAACGCAATGGAAACTTTATTTCATGTATTGAGCTATTAGTAAAATTTGACTTTTCTCTCCCAACATTTGATAACTCATAGAAACAAAGGAGAAGATTGTATCTCATACCTATCTAAAAAGATTTGAAAAGAACTCATTTACTTAATAGCCGAGGTTATGGAATTTGATATTATGGTAATATGATCATTTTTAAGTAACGCTCATCATTGATTCTACTCCCAATGTACAAAACAAAAAACCTGTTAAGTTGCTCTTAGCATTTATTCCCATACATAGTCATTTTGCAACTTCTAAAACGTTTTAAAAAAGTTAGATTAGTATAAAAAAGTTTGATTTGAAAAAGTAAGGTTAGTAGCTTGAAAATATTTTGAAAAAATCTTAAAGTCAAAGTTTTTTTCTCGAATACGTGTTGAGGTTCCTAGACTCTCTTTTACAAACTCGTTGTTTAGCTCATAATGATGCATATTAAGCAATTGAAAAGGGTTATTCTATTTACAAGGCGATGAAACATTATTTGGAAAGTCGAATAAAAACATCTTTAATTTGTAGTTGTGCACACTTATTAATAAATATTTTTTATATAGGTGACTCTTCTTAATATTAACGACAATCAGAAATCAAAATCAAGAGAAAAGACTTTAGACTTTTGACCAAAATGAAACAACTTGAGACAGCTATTTTAATAATTGTTTGGAACAGAATTGTGGAATGGTTAACAATCTTAACAAGAAACTGTGGTTCTTAAAGCTTGATTTAGGTATGGTTGAAGAACTTTATAACTCTCTGTAGCATTACGTGCAGCAAGTTCGCTCTAATCTCAAGTAATTAAAAAATCTAACCGTATCTTTGGTCAACACGAATGAATAGGTCTATGTTCATAGGCTATGTTCATAAGGCTATGTTCAACACGAATGAATAGGTCTATGTTCATAGGCTATGTTCATAGGCTATGTTCATAGGCTATGTTCATAAGAGTACACAAGAGGCATTACGATGATGAAATTAACATTGTGCAAACTATAGTGTTTTCTGGGCAACTTTAAATGATTGGTGACGTTAATGAGATTACGGACAAACTAATGAGTTATATAGATGAAAAAAAGAACATCTATTCTGAATTGAGCTCTCTGTTTGGTTTTTTTGTGAATCTCCACATCATGAATATCTTAGAGATTACTTGCAGTTTACAACAACTTGTTGACTAATATCCTATTGATCTTAATTTTCACTTATTGAACGAATGTCTTCCTTTTGGAGCTTTTTTCAGTAATGTCTCTTAAATTTTTCTTTCATTCAAATAGAAAACCGGGTGTTGAATTCCATCGACCTAAAATCAACATTTACAAGCATAAAATGTAGATGAAAGGTTTGTTTTAGTGAATTTGATCAGATATCAGATGATATCTGATCAATTTCACTAAAACGATCAACTTCACTAAACAGTATTAATTATGATTGAACCAGTACTAAGTGAAAAAAACTGGAATTAAGTAAAAGCAATAACAATTTCTAATATAATCAAGCACTTCTTTTCTCCAAGGCATTTACAGCTAAATATATTCCACTAGTGACTATACTTACTGGTTCTAGTTGCGAACCTTATATATAAAGTGAACATAATAAGATAGAAACTGAAAAAAACTGAGAATCAAATTATTAACGAACACACAGATCCATGCAAATAAAGACATTAAATGACACATAAAACTTTAACGTTTAAAACAGTACAAACACAAAACACGATAACTTACAGAACACTGAAACAACTCTTACATAAAAATAACATAACCAACACTCACGTTCAGCTTGAGATTACTTGAGATTACTTGAGATAACAATTCAAACCTAATCACTGCATAGTACTCCCCTTTTAAACACCACCTCTCAATACTGGACATCTGTCCAAATATTATAATTTATCTAGCACTCCATTGTACTTTTATATAAAATATTTCTTCCTTTTCTTAAGACTATTACGGCCTGATGGATCCATATAAGTGAGGGAACTTTGATAGCTTCCACTGCAAAATAATAGCAAAATTAATTTAAATAGTATAATTGATTTTTTTTTTTTATATTTTCTATTTTTATATTATATTTTCAATGTATATGACTAAATTACTTTAATTAAAAATACAAGTAGACTTGTTTCTATACACAGTAGACTTGTTTCTATACACAGTAGACTTGTTTCTATACACAGTAGACTTGTTTCTATACACAGTAGGCTTGTTTCTATACACAGTAGACTTGTTTCTATACACAGTAGACTTGTTTCTATACACATTAGACTTGTTTCTATACACAGTAGAATTGTTTCTATACACAGTAGACTTGTTTCTATACACATTAGACTTGTTTCTATACACAGTACACTTGTTTCTATACACATTAGACTTGTTTCTATACACAATAGACTTGTTTATATGCACAGTAGGCTTGTTTGTATTTACAGTAGACTTGTTTAACAAGTTTTGTGCTTTAATGCTTAAAAAAGTTATAGTTACCAATTATAGTGGTCCCCTCTAAATTATTAATAATTGTATAAATTGTTTTATAATGCTTTTTACATTTTAATGGCGTATAAGAATAACTTGTTATTGCCTCATTTCAATTACATACCATGATTTAATGATTTTTAATGTATTTTAAATATGAGTTGTTCTTATTTTTGTGTTAAACTTTTTGTTTTAAATGTTGTGTTGTTAATTTATATTATGAGTTTATTATGTAAGTTGTTATATTTCTCTGTTTAGGGTGGAAGATTTGTATGAAAATATTATTTATGAAACAACTGGTATTAAGTTTTTTTGTTGTAATAGAAATAAGTTATAAATTTGAAAATTTAAATTATTTGTTTGAAAGTACTTCTTTGAAATTTAAGCCTCAAAAATAACACCACTTGTTTGTAACCCTGGCAAGCTTCTTCTTACATCAAAGCAGTTGTACTACCAACCATTTAATAATGTTGAACCGGTAAAATTTTTATTTGACTACGAAAGTTGTTTCTCTATAAAATATTTTATTAGTGTGTTAGAGTTAAAGACAAACTTTCTTAAGTTCCACTTTTTTTGACAGCAATAACTATATATATATATATATATATATATATATATATATATATATATATATATATATATATATATATATATATATATATATATATATATATATATATATATATATATATATATATATATATATATATATATATATATATATATATATATATATATATATATATATATATATATATATGTATATATATATATATATATGTATATATATATATATATATATATATATATGTATATATATATATATATATATATATATATATATATATATATATATATATATATATATATATATATATATATGTATATATATATATATATATACATGTATATATATAAATATATATAGTCTTAAGTTTTGTTTTGATAGTCTTAAGTTTTGTTTTGACAGTCTTAAGTTTTGTTTTTTTCTTTGCTTAAATTTTCATTTTAATAATAATTCTTCATAACTGAAACTTACACAATTTTTAAATTTAAATTAAGTGCTAATGTTAATAGGTTAAAAACTTTAGCACACACAGATTTTCATTTAATTAAAAAAGAAGTTTAATAATATCTAAGTAACTTATTGTTGAATTTTTTTTAAGTATTAAAACAAAATTTATATAATATTCAAAAATTTTAACTGAATACTTAATACTAAAAAGACATTTTTTTATAAAATGCTTGTGAAAAATGAAAGTGAAACAATCTTTTTTTATTTTCTTGTTTGATGATGTTCTATTACAATTTAGTAATAGAAATCATTTTCAAAACTGCTAATCTAAAATATATTATTAAATTTTTTTATTTTTTTATTTTACTTTACCTCCTCAAGGCCGAGAAGGCCACTACAGACGAGGAGGCTACTTATTTTGTGGCTATAACCCTCTCTCAACTCTATAACTCCGAAACACGAACCTTGACGAACAAGGCCGCTGCGCGGAGAAACGAGTTGAGCGCGGTACTACCAGGGACGTGGTGGGGATCGAACTCGGAACCACTTGTTTATGAAGCGAGCGCTCTACCACTACACCACTACCGCATAGTAAATTTAATAGTATATTTATCTAAAATATATTATTAAATTAAAAATATATTATTATAATTAGTTATTAATCGAGTTATTAACTCTTGTTTGCAGATAATTTGTAAAATCAAAACTAAATTGAAGTCCATTGTTTCCAAAATTGAGAGATTTATCAAAAAAGATACATAAACCATCGAAAAAATCTTCTCTTTATTGAAAAAGATGCAAATCAAACTTGGTTAGTATGAATTAAAAAAATGTTGGTCATCTTTATTTACTTTTACAAAATTATTGAGATTCGAAAATTTCTTTGCTGGCATAGTTTTATTTTTGTTTTCCTCGAAACAATAAAAATGTGTCTTTTAGCAAATGATCTTGATTCTAATAAGACAATGGTTTTATGAAGTACTAGTATAAATATTAAATGTCCTATTGTAAAAAGTTTTAATTTTATCTCTAAAACATTCATGCTTAATTTAACAATGGCAAAACAAAAAAGATAAAAAGTTTTGCAAAGTCTTTAATTAAACCAAAAATAAAATATCCTTTTGAGTTCAGTTAAAATTGCTGTGCAAATGATCTCCTACTTCTATTTTTTGAATAAGTTTAGCTTTTCATAATTTATAGATGATCCCTGAAAAAAAAACTACTCTCTTTTGCTTAGTGTTAGGTCTCTGTTTAATTTTATTATTAAATTTATTGGTTGATTTAATTGTTGTTTATCTAATTATTTATTATCTAAATTTTAATTTAAAATTGTAATTATCTAAATTTAAATTTAATTATTTATAGTTATTGTTAATACTCAAATATTTACCTTATGGATGGAAGAGAAAATAGCAGTGCCAATCGTAAAACAAGGAAAATTGTTACAAAAGAGCACATAGAAATGCTTAATCATTTAGTTGAAATTAATAAATCTACAACAAGCATTTCTACTTCTCTTAAATTATCTAAGCGCACAGCTCAAAATCTTGTTGTTAAGTTAAATAGA